CAGGCGCCCGGCAGGCGGCGCGCGCACGGCGCGGAGGTTTCTTGCCGCCTTTTCTGACTCCACCAGCGCTTCCTGGGCGCCTTGGAGGCCCGTGTACCCGCCAGGGACGGACAGGCAGAGCCACACGATGTCCTGAGCGCTTCTGTCGGTGCCCCTCTGTGCAAACACCCCCACGACAGCCTGTGACCCCGTGGGTGGAAAGAGCAACGTATTCTGTGCAGGACTCGTTCAAGAATGACATGGAGAACTATCTATTTAACTGTTACTATTTTTAAATTTGTTAGAGGTCGCGTGTGCTCACCAGAGACAGACGGGGGAGGGACAAAGTGAGAGAGCGGCCAGGTCCGGGATTGGCACCGCAGCCAGCCATGTGGGAGTCCAGTGCCTTAGCCGCCATGCCACCCGCTGGCCCCAGCATTGTTGTTACATTCGGGCTCTTCCCTTTAAAATAAATAGAAACGACCTGTTCGTGGCCCCGGGCCCCCTGTGCTTAGAGGACAAGTCAGCTTGCAGGTGTAGCCCCGACAGACGGAGTCCTCCAGATGGGCCCACTCCCGGCTTGTCTTTTTCTGTCTTAGGGTTCAAGCTCTGGCCTGGGAGAGGGAAAGTGAGAAGTCACCCCTCAGTGGGGACAGCCGCAAGCAACCCTTCTCCACCCTCTTCTGAGGCTTCTGGACACGCACACGTGCCTGGGACTCAAACTGCAGTCAGCCACGTGAGGCCAGCGGCCTTTTTTGGAGACCCTGCGTAGACAGGGCCAAACACCTGTAGTCGAGGGAGTGCGGGAGAAAACGCAGGGACTTGTGTTCCAACCTGTCCTCCGACTGGACACCGGCTCTGAGCAAGGCGACGCAGGCTCACGAATGCGGAGCGGCGTCAGCGAGGCCCGGGACAGGTGGTGCGATGGGGCGCAGCCCGCACTGGCAGCCAGGCGAGGCCCGCGAGGATCCGGACGGCGGCCAGCGCGGAGGCCGGCGGGAGGGGAGGCTCGGGCGGCGGGGGCAGCGGGGCTGCAGGCGGGATCTGCGTGCGGGAGCGGGTCGATGATCAGGCCACAGGTGAGCTGGCCAGGGAGGCTGTGGGGCT